TTGCAATCCTCAGTACAAAGGGCTCCTCGCGCCTCAATTACATTTCCTCCATCATCCACATTGCTGTTATTCTCTTCACCATCATTGCTGGTTTTACGAAAGCTGACACCAAAAACTACACCCCTTTTGCCCCCTTTGGCGCTCATGGCATTTTCAAGTCTTCAGTTGTGTTCTTGTTAGCATATCTCGGTTTTGATGCTGTCTCAACAATGGCTGAAGAGACTAAAAACCCTGCTCGAGATATTCCCATTGGTCTTGTTGGCTCAATGACAATTATCACTGTTGCATACTGTCTGCTTGCTATGGCATTATGCCTAATGCAACCATATCAGCAGATTGACCCAAATGCCCCATTCCTTGTGGCATTTGAAGCTATAGGGATGAATTGGGCTAAGTATATTGTTGCTATCGGTGGATTGGAGGGCATGACCACTGTTTTGCTGGCCATTGTTGTTGGCCAAGCCAGATATCTCACCCATATTGCTCGTACCCGCATGATGCCGCACTGGTTAGCACAAATCAATCCAAAGACAGGGACACCAATCAATGCAACAATTGTCACGCTTGCTGCCACAGCAATCATTGCCTTCTTTACTGAACTTGATATTCTTACCAATCTTGCCGCAATATCAACATTGTTCATCTTCACGCTCGTAGCTATCGCTCTCCTTGTTCGCCGATACCATGTCAGTGGGGTGACAACACCAGCAGATAGAAACAAACTTATTATTTGCATAGCGTTCATTCTTGTGTCTTCTGCCGCCACTACTGCTTACTGGGCACTAAGTAGCGATAATGACTGGATTGCATATGCCATTACAGCGCCAATTTGGTTCTTGGCTACCTTGGCACTTCAGGTTATTGTTCCCAAGGCTAGGACTCCAAAACTATGGGGCGTTCCATTGGTTCCTTGGTTGCCTTCGGCTTCCATTGCCATCAATATTTTCACTCTTGGATCCATAGACCGTGCATCCTTTATAAGGTTTGCTGTCAGGACTGGCATCGTGTTGATTTACTATTTTCTAGTTGGGTTGCATGCGTCTTATGATACAGCCAAGGGTCATGGGGAGAATCAGGCTGCGGGGGGATACTGGAATGCTGAAGAAGGTCCGGTGTCTTCCAATTATACCACAAATCCTAGTAGTTAAAGCAGAAACATGAAGGTCAAAAATGTTTATAGCTTCTTCTAATTTATTTTCCCAAACGCGAAGGAAATTTCCGGCCTGGGAAAAAAAAAGGGTGTATGTTAGTAATAGAAATTATTGAGTGTATGTGTAAAGAAGCTTGCAGGGTTCCTTCATTGCGAATATATTTCAACCAAGGACTATATGTCCTTTATTTATATATATATATATATATATATTAGAGGATTAGCTATTTGGCAGATACCTAAACATTTGATCTTAAATCTAAATCAAGATTTTTAAATTAGTCAGGATTAATCCAACTGAGCTGTTGTTAGTCTACATGTCCTTGTTTCATACAATTGTGAAATTGCTTACTTCATGATTTCACTGTCTCTTTCGTATTTTAAAGCATAAATTCTCTAGTCCTCCCCTTGCACGTACATTACTTGTCCAGTTAATTTTATACCTGTATTTGCAGGTTCTCTCTCTCTCTTTTTTTTCCCCTTTTCTTTCTTTAAGTTCACGACTTGAACAGCTTTACATAAACCTGTCAAATATTAGATTGTTGTATTTTGCCGATAATTGAGAATTGATGGTTTGAATTAGTCATGAAATTAAATTAATGACCACAAATTAGCTGTTTATTTGAATTATTACTATATTTGTCTCGATAGTGCAGATTCCACCAATTACTGCAATTTACTAATGTACGTATGGCACCATACACTCTCTGGCTCTTCTCTCTGGAGCTGGAAGCAGAATACTGAACCATCAATACCCTTTCCTTTGCAGGTATCCCCATTTAATGTCCTTACTGTATTTTGTTTTGCCAGTTCAGTTGACTTTCTACCTCTTCATAATGACTTTTCACTAATTTCTCACGTAGAATTTTACATCCTAGTGTATCATTTATAAAAAGAGATATAGAAGTATTTCAAAAATCAAAAAATCTCTAGAATTAGATGTGAAAGAACGGAATAAAGCTTTCCAGTAGGCAAAATATTTACCAGAATTAGTGCAGAGAATATTAAGCATTCCACTAGGGGAAAGGGAAACTTTACATTTTTTGTTAAAAAAAAGTAAATTTTAATTCATTCATATTGGAATTCCTTCATACCGCTTAATTAATGAAGCCTAAAAATAGAAGAATCAACCGACTTTAGAGTTGGATTGATACTAGGGCACGTCTTAGTATTTACATCCTATGGTTAGCCTTGGAGTTTTTTGTATTTATAGCAGTGTTGAGAACTCTCTTTTTCTTCCCTATCTTCCTCTATTCAACCCCCAGGTACGTTTTCTGCTCCCTCTCCTTCTCCTAGTCCTCTCATCTCCCACTTTCACACACAAATAAAAAGAGAATCAATCTTATTCGAGTTTCTTTATTATATATGTTTATGCTGCAAGTATGAATACTATCCCTCTGGTTTTTTTTTTTTTTTTTTTTTAATTTTTGTCTATGCAATTATTCTTAGAACGCAAAAGAGAGAAAAAGGAGGTTGGGAAGAAGGAGAATAAAAACAAAAGTAGATCCTGCTTGAGATTGGACTCTGTTTGATTCTCTTTTTTCTAGTTCATTCCCTTTCCCTTGGTGATATTGGTTTGTGTTTAGGAAATGATGAATTCTAAACATCTATTTTGAATTTGTGATCTAAAATTCAGAGTAGTTGTTTTAGACCATACTCTTAGATCAATAGAGAGCGATTAATTTCAATGCATTTTAGTTTTTAAATTTTTTATGTACATATACTTTTTATTTTTTTGTACCAAATGATTAGGAAGAACAACTCAACAACGCCTTTTTTTGATATTGAACAGCTCAACTATTGATTTTTTTTTTTTTTTAAATTCCCATTTCTGTATATTACGAGGTTGAGAGTTTTGGTTTAATACTATAATACTGACAATCAGCTTTCAAGATGAGGGAATCTTACCAGATATTTTTGGTAAGCTGAATTCAGATTTTCCAGGGCACTACCTTTCCTCCCTGCACCTTCATTTCTTTTCGGCCCAAACTCAACTTAAACCAGCCAAATGGGCCCTGAAACCATGAGCTCTGCACTGCACCTAGCCCTTTCCTTATTTAGGCTCAAGCCCAACTGTCTCAAACTAATACCATGTGCCTTTCATCTATCCCCTTCCCCAATTCAGGGCCCAAACTCGACACTATTGTTACCCCGAATCAAATCCTCCTGTTGGTTGATATTTTTATATAAAAATAGCAAATATTACTTTACATTCTGGAAATCAACCAAGAGAAAATACAGGAGAATGCAATTGAAGAAGAAATATCTAAAATTGTACTTGATTAGCATAACCACATGGTAGATTTCATTTTTTTTGCCTTTTTGTTTTTTTAAGATCCACATGAGAGTTAGTGTAGATTTAAAACAAAAACATTTTACCTTAATTTGATCCTTGAATACGATCTATTCATGTAGTCTTCCATCCTTTGACAAATAGACACAAAACAAAATATTACAAATTCATTATCAGAAGGAATTTAGGAATCTTAAAATAGCATATATATTGCAAGACTTTTAATTATGAAACTCTTTTCTTAGCCATCAACTAAAGCTTTAGAATACCTATATAAAAATGTCTTCCTCCTCCCCTTTTTTTTTCTTTGAAAAATTAGGAGTTCAATTATTAGTATGCAGAGTTCCTAAAATGATTGACAAAGGACCAAAAAGGAGTGAAAGACGTAGTGATAGTGGAAACCCATAAGGAAGTGATCGAGTGGACATGGAGAGCGGGTTGATGGGTGGGTGGGTGATGCTAGGGTTCTTCATATCTACAGTCTCAAATTTAAATCTATATTTTTGTTCTAGAATATTATCATAAATAGATAAGAAGAATTTTAAATTAATGTTGCCTTTTTCTTAATTAAGTTTCTACTCTTTTTAATGAGTTTTCTTTGATAGGTTCATTGAGTATTTATTAAAGATTTTATTGAGATTTATTTAGACTTATTAGGTATTTATTTGAAATTATTAAAGATTTTAATAATTTTCTAAGATAGTGAAATAATAAGATTGATTTTATTATTAATATTGCATTTCTTTTTAATTAGGCTTCAACCTTTTTAATGAATTTTAGATGCATTGTATATTACTCCCTCCACTAGATTCATTGTATTTTAATAAAGGCTTAATCAGATTTAGTTGTCCTATTTTTTAAATAATAATAGTTTAATTTAATTGTTTTATTTTTTTATTTAAATAAGATATTAAATGTTAGTAATATTTTAATAATATTTTAATTTTACCTTTATCCCTTAAAAGATAAAAATGTATTAGAATTTTTTGTTTAATCATAAGTAGAGGTGAAAAAAAATCCTAATTATTGTTATAAACAAATTTTGTAATATAATAAATACATAAAATGAGATAACTAAATTGATCGCAAAGAGTATTTGATTCTTTGTATTTATTTAGAACCATTGATAATTGTTATTTAAGATTATTGAAGAATTTATTTGATAATGTAATTTTGATAATAGAGTAAGAAAAATATTAATGTAAGATTTTGTCTGCAGCAATTTTTCCATATTTAATTACTGAATAATTCTGCGTCACCGTTTTTATTTATTTATCCTCAGTATCCATAAATTACGGCTTTATGATTGGATCAAATATTAACCATTTTATCTCTAAAATTTCAGCTGACTTTTTCATCAGTTCAAAGCTTTTGATTGTTGCAGAACAACAATGGTGAAAACTTCTAGCAGTGATAATGGCGGCAGTGATGGGTTGAAGAAGAAGAAATGGAGATTAACCAAAGAAGATTTCCTACCGGAGGAGTCCTTCCAGAACTGGGGAAACTATGTCGCCGCATTGTCCAACACCAAGGCCAGAGTCATGGACCGTCTCCTTTCTCGGTCCCTGGATGAGGTCGAGCTGCACCAGGTGCGGGCTCGCAGCCAGCACGAAATGAAGAAAACCCTCAATTGGTGGGACATCATCTGGTTCGGCATTGGCGCCGTTATGGGTGCAGGTATCTTCGTCCTCACAGGGGAAGCTATGAGGAACTACGCTGGCGCCGCCGTCATAATCTCCTACATCATATCGGGTACCTCTGCTTTGCTCTCTGTTCTGTGCTACTCTGAATTTACTGTTGAATTGCCTGTTGCCGGAGGGTCATTTGCGTATCTTAGAGTGGAGCTTGGAGATTTCATCGCGTACATTGCTGCCGGAAACATCCTTTTCGAGTATGTAGTAGGCGGCGCCAGCGTTGCGCGATCTTGGACTTCTTACTTTGCTACTTTATGCAACCATGCACCGAATAGCTTCCGCATCCATGTACCGTCCCTGGCGGATAATTACAACTATTTGGACCCGATTGCCGTCGGTATTTCGATCCTGGTCTGTGTGGGAGCAAGTTTGAGTATCAAGGGATCGTCAAGGTTCAACTCCATCACTACCATCGCTCACATTTTTGTTCTGCTCTTCATTATCATTGCTGGTCTTACCAAGGCGAACCCCAAGAATTTCGTCGAACAGTTTGCCCCGTTTGGAATCCGGGGAATCCTGAAAGCTTCTTCCGTTCTGTTCTTCGCTTATGTGGGCTTTGATGGAGTGGCCACGCTCGGAGAGGAGATCAAGAATCCGCGTCGGGATATTCCGATTGGATTGATCGGATCCATGGCGATTATCATAGGTTTCTACACCGCTCTCTCCGCAACTCTTGCCTTGATGGTGCCGTACAATCAGGTTGATCCCGACGCACCATTTACTGTGGCATTCAAAGCTACGGGCATGAACTGGGCCAAATACATCGTCGCATTTGGTGCTCTGAAGGGCATGACTACCGTTCTGCTAGCCAACATAATAGCTCAAGGGCGGTATTTCACCCACATTGGCCGGACTCACATGGCGCCACCGTTTCTGGCCGCCATCAATGAGAAGACTGGAACTCCAATGAATGCCACCATCGTCATGACCATTTTGAACTCCATCGTTGCTCTCTTCACCAGCCTTGACGTCCTGGCGAACCTTCTTTCTATAGCCACTCTGTTCTTGTTCTCACTTGTGGCCCTGGCTCTTATAGTCCGACGTTACTACGTCGCTGGACAGACCACAGATTCTGATCGGAACAAGCTCATTGGATTCCTGATTCTGATTCTGGCATCGTCAATAGCTTCTGCTGCATACTGGGCGGTGAACACCGGATGGATTGGTTACACAATAACAGTTCCGGTTTGGTTTCTCTCCACCCTGGGGCTTCAACTGACAGTGAAGGAAGCAAGGAAGCCTAAGCTATGGGGTGTGCCATTGATCCCATGGATACCTTCAGCCTGCATTGCCATCAATCTGTTCATCATGGGTTCAGTTGACGGGGCTTCCTTCGCGAGGTTTGGGGTCTGGACGTTGCTCCTGCTGGTGTACTACTTCTTTATAGCACTGCATGCTTCCTATGATGCAGCCAAAGAGATTGAAAAAGAAGCCAGTGAATCTGCTCAGGGAAGTATTTGAGGCAGGTAGGTAAATATGATTCAAATAAGAAAGTCACATGTGGCTAAAACCAGTAGAATTGTTCCTTTTATTATATTTTATTTTGTAAATCTCAATCTCTTTGATGATTGGATGAAACTTTAATTAGTTTGTTTCTTATAAAGTACACATCAGTTGTTATCTTCAATTCTTCTTTCCTGCAACTCCTATTTCGACCATCTGAAATTTATACTTTTGAACTTGTCAAAAACTGAGGGAAGGAATATTGAATTACAAAGGCTACACCGTCAAGTCCAAATCTTGAAAATGCCAAATAACTAAGGATATTTGCTCAATTTTGACGAAAAGATATACAGCAGAGCTTAAAACCTGTGTTACATACACCGTTTGTTACATACAAAAACAGTTAAGATGACAATATTGCCCAAATGGATGATGAGGCAATAGTAAAATGGAAAGAAAACAAGTGAAAGAAAACCTAGTTGTGACAGGGACATAACACAAACCTGACAACCTTTAGAAGTATATGTATCCTTGTGAAAGCAATTGACATTGTTTTGATCAAATTCATGTTTCTATCTTGAGAAGGGAATTGAGGGATGTACTATTGAATCGCTGAGCAAAACCACGAATTATGAGAACAATCACATCTCTAAGATGTCGTGAATGCACCATCAAGTCTGCTTCATTCTCGCTATCTAGTACAATCCTAAACCTTCGTTGGTCATTGCGGAAGAGCTCCACCTGTTACAGCCATGGCCTTTTTAGTTGGTAAATAAGTCAAAAAAGAAGAGCTAGCTACTGGTGATCAGTTCAGGAGTAGCTAGAAAAAGTTTACTGCCGCCAGAACCTGAAACTGACTTTGCAAGGTTCAGTTCTAAGGAAACTATCTGACCAAGCATAAAATCAGCTCAACAGCTAGCATGATCAAAGTTGCCTAAACTAAAGTATGAAGCCAAAATCATTTTCGTTTCATCTTGCAATAGCCTTAGCTTGTGCATTTTCTAACTGACACAAAAATAAACTTACATGAAATGGAGGAGCATAGCTTCCACGAAGTTCAGTGGTTGGAAAAGAAGTTTTAGAACCTGGCTTCACAACCTTGACTCGTTTTCTATTAATTTCCAGAATTCTTCTCTCAAGACATCCTTCTCCAGGAACCTGCAACACAATAATGAATAATGATGAAAACAGATAATTTTCTTTATCAGTGCAGAGTCTGCAGACTATAACAGATCTAAGAATAATAATTATAAAACGAAAAAAAAATAAAAAGAGAGACAGAGAGAGTGGAATAAAAACCTTCTTTGGATTGCGGTCCTTATCGCACAATACCTGTTACCAAAGATAGAAGCAATTAGTGTAAGAACAACAACATTTACGTTTATTTTAAACTAATTTCTCATGTTAGTGTTACATATACCAAAAAGTTAGTTTTTTCCTTCTTTTTTTTAAATAAATAAATGAACAAGTAAATATCAAAATCCAAAGAAAAATCTATAAATAAGTGCTACAACCTAACAAAAGTTCACATTGCAAGATGCAAAGGTATAACATGAAAGTTGAAACTAAAGGTATATTCCCACCTCAAATTTTACAGATCCAAGATCCAGCTTCTGTTTCACTTCTCTGAGAACATCAGGCTCTGCAAAATAAACAACACATGATATCCTAGAACATCTAAAGATACCAAAGCAATGCAAGCAGTTGAAAATGAAATCAATGGACTTCAAAATTACCAACTGCAACAAGCTCTGTAGATGCAGAAACAGGTTGCCCCTCAGTTCCATCCTCCCTTATTGGAGTATAAACAGCCACCAATCTGTAGCCCACATCATCAACATTAGCTTCATACATCCTCCCTGTTTCTCCTGCAATATCAATCAATCCTTCACGTTGAATGTACAAATAAACTAAAACATGGATCATTCAATTATAGTTTCACAATGAGGTAAAGAATACATAATCTTATAAGCAGAAGACCGTTTTTCACTAGATTGACAGGAATTCTGCATACCTGGTATGGTGATAAGATCAGGACTTCCAACCATTGATCTGAGCCACTGAATTTTACTTTTTCCTTCTTTTCCTCCAGTATAAATGCCACGGACAGCATATAAGTTGGTATGATAACCCCTGCCCTCAATCTCCAGCTTGTCAATTCTAGGAAATCCTAAATGCAGAGACTTATATTAATAGATGAAAAACCTGATGAAAATAATATCTCCTTGGCCAAGATGAAGGGAATATTTATTGGTTTCTAATAGAGGTAAAAGTATTGTTGATTCTTGAAAATTTATTAAGAATAGATTATTTGCAAATGAACTTGAAATTACAAAGACCTGGCAATATGGGATCTGTCTCAGCATATGCTGGTTCACTCAACCTTCCAAACAAATCAGTCACAATACACTCACATCTCAGGCACCGACCAATGTCCTCAAACCGCACTTTGTATGAGCAGGATTGCTGGGTAGGCAAAGGCTCAAAGGATCTTCCATCTGTGGTATACAATGAATAGAACCTGCAGCAACCTTATGTCACATATAAGGAGCAAAAAGAATACAATTTCAAAGGACAAACTGTGAAAATAAGGATTTAACTTCTCAAAGGAGGATAACTTCCAACATTACAGATACAGAACAATATAAAGAATCAAACAACTACCTCAAATATATAAGTACCAAACTCACATACAGAGGTAGGATGCCAAACATTTGTCAGTACGATTCATATATCCTTTTTTTCTTTTTTTTCGGCCAGTAAAGAATATTCCATTGACTGTACAAATTTCTAGTTGAAACAGCTTATTTCTAAAAAGAATTGACAAAAGAACTTGAAAGGAACAGCAATTGCGGGGGAATCTAAAAAGGATAGTACAATCAAGTAGCACAATGCAGAGAATACCATTGGTAGCGAACATCTTTCTTGTACTTGCTCCAAACACATTGCTGACTTTCACTCTTTGGAATCACTTCAACTGCAGTGAGTACTGCACCTTCCACTGCCTTTCCATTGAGAGCAAGCATCTCTATCTTTGGAAGCTCTGAAGGATGATGGATAATAGTGATCATCAAGTTGCAAAAGTTGTAGAAAGTACCCATAATTTCTCTACTTAAAGTCAACATCTCAGTTATAATTAGCATTGTAACTTCCCATGTCCAAGCCTTAATTAATATCGTAAGAGGCTCAAAAGTTCACATAAAAGAAACTTGAATACACAAGGTAACAAGAGCGAGCTAGATAGCAAAGACTGTAAAAGGAGAAAATGATGACAATGAAAGAATAAATGAATAATAGGTTTTAAATCTTCTGATGAGACCAACTTTCATGCAGTTTTATAGGTCAATCTAGCCTTAAATTTAAGATCACTGTACTATTTATGTGAGATTCTTTGTGATTTTACATAATTTGGTTGTTTTCTCTTAGGTGAGGGCTAGCATAGCAATTTCTGAAAAGTTGGAGGCTCTAGTAACAAAATTGGAAATTTGAAGGATTGAAGATTTTGGTTCGAGCTTGCTTCAAGTCAAACCAACTTCAAATATTAAGAGCCACATCATCAAATTTCATGGCTTAAAAGATAGCAGGGCAGTTTTTAACGTGAAAATAGGAAGAAGGAAGTGGAGCAAAAGGGGGAAGAAACTGTCAAAGGAAAAAAAAAAAAAGAAAAAAGAAAAAAAAGAACGGTCTTTGGGATGCTAAAAAAGGAGAGCAGAACAGTGGCAAAAGAGAGGGAGGAAAAATCTGCTTTTTTTTTTCGATCTTTCTCATAAGCAACATTCAATGGGCTGACTTCTTCCAAATTCAGATCAGTAATTTCTTTCCTTGTACCCATAGAAAACCTGTGTTAAGTTCTACTTTTCTGTTTTAGTTTTAATGTATTCCAGCACAATTGTTTGTTTTCTATCTTTGATTATGGAGTAATTTTGTACTTGGGGTTATGTTGAAATCCAAATCATTTAGTTTTCATTCTGAGGAGTCAGAGCCTGATCTATTTTGCTTCATTTTGAATTAGTATTTCATTTGTAGATTGTTTTCTTGTTGAATTGGCCAACAAACAAGATGTATGGATGTTTAACTTGAACTGACAGGGAATAGTTAAATGAGACCACCAAATGAATGCCATTAATTTGAGGAGATAGAAATACTCTTAGAATTGATGTGTTCTTGAGAGAAGAATCACTGCACTTGAATTTTAGTTTCAATTCACTGCACTGCATATAGAAATATATAAGTAGGTGGGTTGGGATAATTTATTGTCACTTGAAAGAAGATCAGTAAAAACTCAAGGATTCTAGGACATGATTCAAGAGAGCAGAATGATCAGGATTTGGGTGAATTGAATGCGAACGGATTGTGCAGGTAAGTACACATAACCCTGAACTTTTTATAGAGGTTAAACCATCATTTTTAAGAATTAGTTATTTTCTTTAGTTTAGTTTAAGAAATTTGCTTTTACATCAAGAGTTTTTGATAGTTAGATAAAATTAGCACTAACATAATTTAGGTACTCAGTAGAATTTTTCATCATTAATCCTCGTGGAAACGATACTTTACTCACTCTTTATTACGTGATACGATAATGTGCGCTTGCATTTTTAGGTGAATGTTTCACAGTTACCAAATCTTCTCATCAAGGTATTGCATCTCCTGAAACACCATTGACAGACTCTTTCGTAACTTAATTTTCCCTTTCACATTCTGTAATTGACGTGACATTGAAATAAAAATTGTGGCTTATATTAACAAGTATGAGTTGGCATCCACATTACTTAGCCTAAATTGTGCAAGCATTAAGAGTGGGAAGTCAACATTAGAAAGCAATGACAATTTCCTGGACTACATGGGATTACTTACCCGGTAGAACAATATCTGTTGGCTCAGACAACCTAAGCTCTCCAACAACTGAATCTGAACGAACTGGTGTATAACTGTGAGAAAGTTGGACAAATCGAAAACATTAAGAAACATATGAAAGTAAGAAATAAATTTCAAATGGCATTCACCTATACACTATATAACACCAAACCAAAAGTTCAAAATCTACCAAACCACCACAATTAAGTAGAAAAATTCCTACATCCTTCCCTGACATAAGCCAGATCTAGAGATACAGACATTTAAATTTACATGGTTATTTTCCTACAGGTTTTCTTGAAAGTTATAAACAATAAGGT